GGGCAGCCACACTCGGCTTATCCCGTGCTCCTGGGACGGAACAGGCAGCGGGAGCACTGCTTGGGACCAAGAGGGACTTGGGAGAAAGAGGATAGTTGTAGTATCCATAGAGCAACTTAAAGGGACGTGACTGCCAATACCAGTGTCAAAAAACTTAGCTTCTGGTAAGACAGTGTGAGTTTAATTAAACTAAATTGAGCTGCTTTGTAAGTATTGATTATTTCAGTTGTGTTCCACACAATTCTGCAGCTGTGCAGAGTTAGTCTAGTGATGGCATCTATTAAGTTGCTGAGGAACAAAAAACCTTCTTCAGGTCACACCACTGACACAACTGCTTTTGATTGTGTCTGTGTTTGGGGGAATGGGTGACATTAATGCCTGGGTTCAGGCTTCTGAAGACTTGCTCAACTGCTCAGTTATTACACTGGTGATAGGGGTGGTGTTGGAGAAGGGCTAGTCCAGATCCTCTGGATCCAGAGTAGTTTTACCTTGTCTGGTGAGATGGCAGGGACATTTGATGAGTGTTTCAACATCACAGTCCATCCATCCATGAGGAAATCACAGGGCCAAGAGGCAGTGTGCAGGTTGTCTGTGGAAAGGTGTTCTGACCGTGTGAAGAAGTTCTTACTTTTGCAGAATTAGAAGCCAAGTTATTCTTTCTTTCTGACTCAACTGTGATGACTTTTTGATGGAAAGCCTGAGAAACACGTGGTGGGTGCAGAGCGTTTGGAAATGACAAGGCAACCCGTGATGCAGCAGGATTTCCTGGTGAGCAGGGGCCTGGCTGTAGGGCTGTGATGAATCTGAGAGGGTGTAATTTTTACTGGCTGCTCACCAGAGAGTGTTCAGTTGATACTCTGGGTTGCTGCTTCTCATGGGCACGCTGTGGATGTGCAGCAGTGGGGGTGGGTAGTGAAAGCAGTGCCTTTGCAGAGCTGATGAGCACTCAGGGCCAGTTTGGAGGTTCAGAGGAGCGGGTCCCCACCCCTGTGTTCAGAGCACTGGCCGTCGGCAGCCCACGGCCTGGGGTGGTCCTGATGTTTTACAAACGTGCTGAAGTCGATGAGCTCACTGAGAGAGGCAGCATTTATGGCCAAATGCCCACCCAATGCAGTGGTCAGAACTTGTGAGGGGAGCTGGAACCCTGGTACTGGAGCTTTGCTCTAGAGTCTCTGAGCTTTTCAGCTCCTGTCCCTGTCCATAACCTGCCCTCGTGTTGTGTAGACTTGTATGTGAGTTCTGCAACTGCTGTCACCTTCTGATAGCTGAGAAGGTTTGTGAACATTAAATATTTGGATGCACTGACCAAATGAGTTCCTTGGGATAGTCAGAAACTCAACAAGTGAATATGTTTTGATTTGAAATAACAACACGTACCTCAAGTTCGTGCTGGCGACTTTGGATTCTCTCCTTTCTTTCCCTCTGTTGCAAAGGCTTGCCCTGATATAAGGCTAAATATTGGTAATTTAAATACCATTTTAGTAGGCAAGTGAGCTCCTAGAAGTGTAAGGATGCAGTGGGGCCGAAATGCTAAATGGTGATGACTTTCTAAGAAAAATCCTGTTACTGGGATATGAACGTGCCTTTCCTGAAACGTTTCTGATCTGTTTTCTGGTAACATGCACAACAGACTTGCCTACCCTGCTGAAAATTCCAAAGTGCCATTTCTGTAGTGAACACAAGACACATTGAAAGCAGCGAACTGAAGTGGTTTGGGAATATTAAAGCCTGACTTTGGACTCAGCACTGCTGGGTGAGACCTGGCTCTGCCTGTGCTGCACCTTGCAGTGCCCAAGTGTTGGGGTGAGGCTCTGCCTTCTGGGGCTTGGAGTCAGACCCAGAAGGTGATGCTGGCTCTGGTGCCAAGATAAGGAAGTGCTTTGTCTAAATCTGGTGTACTGGCTTCAGGACTTAAAATGCCAACCAGCATCTGCACGATATTTCATGCTTTATTTAAAGTTTCGGGGATTTGCTGGAGTCACTCTCATTCATCACGTGGAGCTCTGAAGCTCCCGTTGCAGATTGTCATCTCTCCCCTGCAGTGCCACTGTGTCTGCTCCTTTGGCTAAAGATAGAAAGGAGCAGAGTTGGTTTTCTTTCTTCTCCAAGAAAGAAATCCTGCAGAGTTTGAGTTCACCTGCAGAAGATGGTTTTGCTGTTTCTAGCAGGCCTTTTAGGGATATGCAGTATTTTGCTTTTCCATACTGGTGTACCTTTGTTGGTTTGGGTGTTCAGTATGTGATCAGAACACAATGACTTATTTCTTTATTCCCTTAGAAAGTGAGTGGTTTAGAGAGCATTATTGTGACCGTTGGTTGCAACTTTTCAGTCTGCAAATACACTTCCAAAGACAAGTGTTGTTTTGTGAAGCTTCACTCTAATGTTTTTAAAGGCAAACCCCACCTTCAGCTGGCTAGAAGAGCTGAAGGGGAGGAGCTGCAGGGGGAATCTTCTCCTTAGCTGGGATTTTGTGGCCACTGGCTAATTTTTGCCATGTCCTGTTGGAAGTCTGAGCGTAGGCAATGATTTCAGCACGTGGCAGGTTGTGTGTCCCTCGAGGGACAGTGCCCAGGAACCCAGAGGAAGATTCATCAGGACCAACCAGTGTCACACGTGTCCTGCTTTGGACTGTAGGTACAACATAAACTTGATAAATTTGGTAACTCTGCTTTAATTTTGGAATATTTTGGGAGAAAGTGCCCAATTTATAAATGCAGGTAGTTCCATCTTGGGTACAAGTGGTGCCAATACAAGGCTTTCCATCCCTTCAGGCCCCTGACTGCTCTGTGGTGCTCTCCCTGTCCCCAGAGCTGCTTGTCCTGCCCAGGGTGTGTTTGTAGGCTCAGTCTCAGAAGACTCAGAAGGGCCTTGGCTGCACATGGTTAGGTGGGACAGGCCTCTCAGCACTGTTGGACACAGGAGCGTGGTGTGGGAGCATAGTGGGAGTTCAGCCACTCAGTAATTCATCTTTTATCTCAATATTAAGAGCAGGAGGTTGGATTCTTAAGCCTGTCCTGCCTCAGCTGAAGGGCAGGTTGTTTCAGGTGGTTCCCAAAAGTAATGTTTTACTGGAAAGCAGCACGAGGCAACATCCAGCCAACTGTGCTCCTTGCTGTGCAGGGTTTCAGCAGCATATACATTATTTATTCTATAAATAAATCTAATGAGTCTGTATTCTGTAACTCTCCATATAGCAGGTTTGTATTATATTGGCAGGTTAGCTGAGTGAAAACAGTGTTGGCAGATTGTTCAGCTCATAGAAAAAGATTTCTTTGTAGAGTTGCATAGGGATTGTCCTGTGTGTCAGAAATGCTTCTAAATGTCAAATATTTTTCTACAATAAAATAATAAAAATCAAAAGAATTCATCTTGGATACATTTTTTTTATATACTAGGGCACAGCATGTGGTGGTGTTTTTTGAAACAAATCAAATAACAAGCTGAGTGTCTGTTTGCTCTCCCCCACATGAGGGTTTCTCTCTCTTCTTTTAGGGTTAGAATCCCCAAGGACCAGGAAGATGTTTGTGTTTATAAATGGCAAGTGAAACTTCATTGGGAAATGGGTAATGAATTCCATCTTAAATGAACGATAAATGTGCCAGCTTTGCATTGTTAATTCCTAGGGCTGTTCATTAGGACCACACGAGCTTGTTGCTGCCAGTGGGATTGCACAAGATGGTTGAGCTGCTCTGCCACAGCTGAGAGAGGAGTCAGTGTGTGCCTCCAGGGCTGAGAGAGGAGTCAGTGTGTGCCTCCAGGGCTGAGAGAGGAGTCAGTGTGTGCCTCCACAGCTGCACAGCTCTCCCCTTCCTTTGTGCTCGTGCTGCTGCTGCCCTGACCCTTCCCTCCCTGGCAAACCCATCTGCTTGGGAGGGGCATTTTTCTGCCCAGTGGCTGAACTGAGTCAGGGCCAGCAGGGTAAGGAGTTGCTAGAGGTGATGCAAGGTCAGTGGCAAGAGTATTTTTGGGGAAAACTGGTGCTGGAGGTCGAGCCCCTGCTGCTGCAGGTGGAGGTGCAGAGCCCTGAGCTGTGTGTGCTGTCCTGGGTGTCAGTGTGGAGCCACCACTGTGTGTAAACCTGGCATTCCTGGGGCACTCCTCACCTTTCCTGACCTCCCTCTGCCAGCTTTGCTCTCTGTAGCCTGTGTTTGTTCTTCCCCTCTTTGCAGCCTTCCCATGAGGAACTTGGTGTCACCAGCAAGTTGTTGGTGTTCTGCTCCTTTCCCAGAGGTGAGGGCCTGGCCTCCAGCACATATTCAGTGTCACAGGGAGGTTTGGGTTGCAAGGGACCTTAAGAGCTTGTCTCATTCTGCTTCTGGGCAGGGACACCTTCCACTAGACCAGGCTGCTCCAAGCCCTGTGTTCTTGGGGGACTTCCCTGGTGGCCTTGCCCTGCTGTCAGAGATGGCATTTGGTTTGCTCTCTGTTTCCTCTGTCCTTACCACATAACCTGTCCAGGGCCTATTGTTACCATGGCAGCTTCATTTCTTTAGGAGCCTTTTGTGAAGAGTCTGTGGAATGTCCCTTGGGAATTAGAGCAGGCTTTGTCCATGGGTGTGTGCTGAAGGGGCAGCTCTGAGAGAACTCCCGTGGGCTTGTGGAACATGACTTTCCTGTGCAGAAGGGAGGTTGATTTCCCTGTCTAAATGCCATTGTTTCTTTAGCTGCCTATGGATCTGTTTTCTAGAATAGTTTTTACTAACTTAGGCTCACTAGGCTGTCACATCAGTGTTGGCTGAGGGAGTAAACCCAGCTCTGAATTGTGCTAAGAGTAAGTACTGCTTCAAGCAGTGGAATTTTTTTTTTGAAGGCTGTTTTTTTTCTGGTTCACTGATGTGGCTTCTTTGGTGTCTCATAGTTTTGTTTTTTCCTGTAGTCTTACTTTAATAGGACACTGCTTGTGGGAGAGGAATTAAACATCCTTTTTCTAAGAAATTAATATTTTTAAAAAGGTAGAGGAACTTACATGGTTTGCTATCTCTGTTTTCCTGTGTTTGGTGGAAATTGGTCCATAGACTGATAATTATTGATCGTGGAATTGGAGGAAAGAACGGGGAAGGATGTGCACACCGAATGCACTCCTGTAGGCCTGTTCTGTTGGATACTGGGCTTAAAAGGACCCAAACAAAACAACAGGGTTGCAGCAATACTGCAAAACAAATAATACAGTCCAGGGAGTGCCAAAGAGCCCTGCAGAGATCCCCCAGTGTGCAGAGCTGAGGTGAGAGGGGCTGCCCTCCCTTGGCTGCTCCCAAACTGTGCTCAGCCCTGAGGATCCCTGTCCCTGCTGCCCATGGGGCCCTGGCAAGGGCAGTGGGAGGGAAGGAGAGCTCAGGTGGTCAGGGAAGTTCCCCAGCCTGGGGAGGGGGTTCTCAGAAACATTGCCCTGACTTGGGCTGCTCTGCCCTCTGAGTTACAGAGCAGGGCTGGTTTGTTCTGGTTTATTCTTCGTCTCCTTTCTGTTCCATGCTCCCAGTGTTTTCCTTAAGCTCCTTGAGGCTTTTCCTATTTTAGCACTAGCTGATTGTTCTGCTTGTATTTGCAGAAATCATCCCTCTAGAAAGGGTCAGTGTAACTGTTCAGAGGAAATGGCATCATTTCTGTGGGTTTGTGCATCTCTTTTGCTTTCCTCGGTCACTAGTGATTTTTTTTTTAATATCTTTTGTCTCTGTAAGCTCCATTTGGAGCAGTTTTCTCTGCCAAAGTGGTAAGATGGAGCTGGAATGTAATTCTTGTTTCAAAATGTTTTAGGGAAATTTTGAATACTG